GGCAGGGCGCTATTTGTAAACCCCCCAAAAACAAAAATTTAAAACATCTATCGAAACAGGGAGAAATTTCCTGAGGGAAAGGGAAAACAGCAAATGTATCCCAATCCTTTTAAAAAAGGGAACAGAAAATGAAAACATTTAACTACAGACCATGTCAATAATGTATAAAATAAAGCAAAAAACAAAGGAGAAAAAATTTACAGGAGAAAGGGTGGAACACCCAGAAAGGAAAGATCTCATTTAACAGGCCCGCCAGCATGGTTTCCCGGGAAAGGGGAAAACCCCGTGTCACAAACCTACTGGAGTTCTATGCCCTGGTGGGCAGCAGTAAAAACAAGAGAGAGGGGGGGTGGGGTGGATTGCCTTTTTTTTTGGACTGCAAAAGGGGTTTTTAACCCCAAAATTCCACACAAGAGATTGGGGCAAAAACTGGGGGGACCAACAGGGTAACAGGAAGGGCAAATACAATGGGGTCAGGGAATACTTGTCAGGAAGACCCGCAGCGAGTCATGGTACGTGGCAGGGGTTTTTAAATGGGGACCTGTGACCAGCGGGGTCCCGCAGGGGTCCCGTCCAAGGGCCAAATCTTTTTTTTTGGTTTTTTGTGAACGACATGACGGAAGGAATAGACCCCTGAGGTGTCCCGTTTGCAGATTAAAGTTGGGAAATTGATGAGGGAAAAATACAAACCGGGTCAGAAGACCAAACAGAAACTACAAAGGGGTCTGGACAGGCGCCGAACTGGGCCAAACAAATTGGGGTCCTGGGGTTTTAATCCCACCAAGTGCAAAAATTTATGAAGATTGGGGAAGGGCAAAGAAGGGGGGGCCCCAAAAGGTACAGTCAGGGGGTCAGAAAACACAAAAACCCCAAATCAAGGAAAAAGATCGGGGGGGTAAAAACCAGGCACAAACTCCTGAAGCGCACAACAACCAAATAACTTTCTGGGAGCAATGGGCGCCAAACAAAAACCCCAGAACAGCATTCCGACATCTTTAAAAAGGGGAAACGTTTTTTAGGGCCCTGAAAAAAACCGTAAAACGTTTGGGCCCTTTGGGGTATGGGGGCACCAAATTTGGAAACCCCCCCCCTAGCCAAGCACGTAAAGAAACTAGAGAAAGTGGGAAAAATTTTTTCCCCCAAAAAACTGTCCCAGAGCTAAGAGGTATGTCCTACGAGGAGAGGTTAAAGGGGAAAACAACCTGAAAGACCCCTGGAGGACAGGAAAAGATAAGGGGGGGCATGGGTAACACATACCAAAAAACTGAGAGGAATTGAAAAGGTTTGGGCAAAAACAGGATGGGGGGGGGCCCGAGATTGGAAAAACAGTTTAAAAAGGGGGCACAGTTGGGAAACTAAAAGACACAGATGAATCACAGGGGGTTAGGGAAATATTTCTTCAGCCCAGAGTATCCGTAAATGGAATAGTTTTTGGGGAAAACCCAAAGTAATTGGGGGCAGGATTCCATACAAAGCTTTTAAACAAAAGGTAAAAATAAAGCCACGGCTCAGGGGGAGTGACCCCATAAACGATCAGTGAAGAGGCGGGGCCAGGACCCCGGACCGACCCCCCCCAAAAAAACAACTAGGTGAGTACAACTAGGGAGTACCAAAACCAAAAACCAAACACACAAAAAACAAAACACAAACACAAAACACACACAACACACAACACAAAAAACAACCCCACACACCCACACAACACACACACAACACACACACAACACAACCCACAACCCCCACACACAAACCCCACACAACACCACACACAACCCCAACAAACACACACACAAACCCCACACACACACACACACACACACAACAAACACCCCCACCCCCACACACACCACACACACCCCAACACCCACACACAACACAACACACACACACACCCACAAAACACACACACAAAACAACAAAACACACACAAAACCCACCCCACACACACACACACACACCAAACCCCACACACACAACACACACACACAACACACCCCCCACCACACCCCCTCCCCACACACACACACACAACACACCCCCACAACAAAACACAACACACCACACACAAAACACACACACACACACAACACCCAACCAACCCACCCACACACACCCCACACACACCCCAACCCCCCACACAACACACACCCCACACACACACACACAACACACACAAAAACACACACACACACAATCACACACACACAAAACAACACACACACCAAAACACACACACACAACCAAAAACACACACCACAAAACAAAACACCCCACACACACACAAAAAACCAACCAAAAAAAAAAAAAAAAAAAAAAAAAAAAAAAAAAAAACACAACACAACACACAAAACACACAAATCACACACACAAAAACCCCACACAACACACACCAAAACACCCCACACACAACCCCCCCCACACACACAACACACAACACACACACACACACCACCCACAACACAAACACACACACAACACACCCCACACAACAACACAAACCTACAACACACACACACACACACACACAACACACACAAACACCCCACACACCACACACACACACCCCACACACACACAAAACACACACACACACACAACACACACACACACACACACACCCCCCCACACACACACACAACACACACCCCACACACACCCACACCCCCCAAAAAACACACACACACACACACACAACACCCCACAAAACAACACACACACAACAAAAACACACAAACACACACACACACCCACACACACACACACACAAAACCACAACAAAACACACCACAAAACAACACCACACAAACCCCCCAAAAACAACAACACACAACACAAACCACACACACACACACCACACACACCCACCCCACACACACAAAAAAACACCACACAAAACACACACACACCCACAACACCAACACACACACACAACACACACACCCACACACAAACACACACACACACACAAAACACCACACACACCACACACACACACCCCCAAAACACACCAAAACAACAAAAACACCAAACCCCCCCAAAAAAAAAAAAAAAAAACAAAACAAACAACCACAAACAACACAACCCCACAACGGTCCAAAAACTCCCCAAACAAACCCAAACAAAAAACAAAGAAAAACCCCAAAAACAAATTAAACACCCCAAAACCCAAACACACCAAAAAAAACAAAAAACCACACCCCAACACACAAACCCCGTTGTGGAAGTGGTGGAAACCTAAAAAGGGATAACCCCAGAAGGTTGTGTCCCATGTTTTCCCGGATGATTGGGAAATTAAAGAGAAGTTTTTAAAACCCCAAAAGGTCAAAACGGCTAAAAATAAAAATGGAAAGGTTTGGGGGAACCCGGGCCAAACAAACTTGGGGCCTTGAAAAATTTTAAAAATCCGGGGCCTGCCAAAAGGCCCAAGGGAAGGGCGGAAGAAAGGCAAAAAAAACCCCAAAAATTTTGACAAGGGAAAAAAAGGCGGGAAAAGGGGCCAAAACAAACATCAAAAAAATTTAAAACCCAGGGGTTAGTTAATACCAGCACAAAATTTCCGGAAGAAATTAACCCGAAAAAGTGACTTGGGCGGGGAAAAACCAAAAATTTTGCGTTTGCAAACCTCAGAAGGAATCTTTGAAGACCGGGGGAGGAACCCTTTTAAAAGCCCCGGGCCCCAAACAGGGGGTAAAAAAGCCCCCACCAATTTTAACCACAAAACCCCAACACCCACAAAAAAACAAAAACCCAAAAACACCAAAAACCAAAAAAAGGGAAAATTTTTCAAAATTTTTAAGGGGGAAATCCCCCTGAACACAATTAAAAAGGACAAGGGATTAAAGGAGGGAAAAATTTTTTTAAGGGGCATTAAAAACCGGCGAAGAATTGGGAAATGACCCATAAGGAATGTTTCAAAAGGGGAAGAAAAAGAAAGGGGCAAAAATTTGGGAAAGTTAAAACTCCCTAGGGGGGTCAAAGGATGTTAAAGGAATAACCCCATCACAGAGTTTTAGGGGAAAAGGGGAAAGGCCCTAAAATTTTTTGAGGGAGCCGGGGAACCAAACAAAATTTTTAAAAAGGAAAAAGTTTGGGGTAAAACCCAAAGGGGCATGGGAGAGGGAAATACTTTTTTTAAAAGGCCGGGGGCCGGGGGTAAATATGGGAACAACCCTAAAACCAAAAAAGGGAGTAGAAAAAAATTAAGGGGGGAAAAAAAACACAAAACCCCAAACAAACCACCCCCAACCTCAAAAACAACAAACACAACCCCCAACAAAAAAAAGGATCTTTGGGGTAAGTTTATAAACGAACTGGGCCCCCGAGGCCACATCCTAAATTTGCCGGCAGCTTGGGGTTACCCAAACCCCCGACGGCCGTTTTTAAAAACCCCCCTTGGGCCTTCCGGCGATTCAAACCTTTTAAACTTCTGGGAAAAGCACGCAAAATTGGGAAGGATTTTCAAAAAGTAAAAATTAAAAGTGAAAAATTTAACAACAGAAAATCCCCGGAAAAAAATGGGGGGGTGAAAAAATAGGGGGATTTTTAAAAAGCCCCTATTTCCATAAAATTTTTTAAATAAGGGGCCATTTTTTTTTATAAAAACCTTAAAATACAGACAATTTTAATTAAGGGTCCGAATGTTTCCAGGTGGAAAAACCCAAACAAGGGGTACAATTGGAAACAAAACCCAGTGGTCCCCCGGGGAAAATTTAAAGGAATAAAAATTTTTTTTAATTTTTAAGGTTTTAGGGAATGGGTTAATCCTGGAAAGAAGTTGAAATTATGGAAGCCCCAAGTTCCATAAATGTTTTTAAAAAGTATTTTAAAAAATTTTTTCAACAGGGGGAAAAAATTAAACGACCCTAAAAAAGGTGGGGCCAGGAGTTTTGGCCGACCTTAAAACCCTTTAACCTCAAGGGGAGTACAACTAGGCCGGTTTTTTTAAAAAAACACCCAAAACCCATTTTTTCCAAATTTTAAAAAAAACAAATCATTTGTGCATGTTTGATGGACCAATGACTGGGTCCTGAGTTGTGTCATACATCTGTAGTTGACCGTCAGTCTTGCCGGTCACCAGGAACCCTGACGTCCAGATCACTCCCTCGGCGCCTCCGATCGAACCTAAAGTGACAAAGACACTGTCAAGTGAAGATGCAAAAAGTAAAAATAAAAACAAGTGACTTTTGAAGCTACAGAGAAATACGAGAATAAAAACTGTTTCTGAATTCATATGATTGTTGTACTTTTTAAAATTTTTGCCTCTTCTCAGTTTCTCAATATTTTTCTAAACGTATTTTTCTGTCTCCTCGTCTTTTTTTTTTTTTTTTGTTACCTTACCACAATACAGAAAATGTATTATAAGGTCAAGAGATTCATCCTACGCTGTGTTGTAAATTAATCTTTTCTCTAATTTTGTATGTTTGTACAAGCAGTGTTGAGCAGAGCCTCTGTGTCCTGGTTGAAGACATTTTAATTCGGAATAATAATCTTGTTAACCTTCTACAATATAGCCTCATTGACACTGATTCTGCGACACTACACATGACGGAATTCCACTTTGTTATATTCGTCAGTATTCACATAGCAAGTTCCACATTGTTGACATCTGTAATCGTTATTGTACCCATTATGATAATTGTAACATAATTTTAACAACATGGAACCTCACAAATAACCCGCACATAAAAGAGAGAAGCTTACGACGACGTTTCGGTCCGACTTGGACCATTGACAGTCACACTGTGACTTTGTCACAGTCACGGTATTGTGCCTTTTTTGTTATTTAAACATGGAACCTCTGTTCACCACATTTCTTCCAGAATTTAGGAAAATACAAGTCATTTGGGACATGTATAGATGGCAATACGATAAACGACTAAACAAGGGTACGACTGTACCTTTTGTACAAATAAACTCACTGGGAAGGTAGTCAGGATTATTGGGCCAGTAGGCCGACTTGTCCATCACTTCCAGGTTCCAGGAGGCTACATCTGAGAGGTATCTCCCTGGAGCTCTCGTGATGTACACCTCATCCAGCTGAAATGATACAATCAAACTTGATTTTCCTTTTAGGACACTCTGAATCATTCGCTTTTAATCCATAAATTACAGATGGAAATAAGATGACATTTCAGTTCATCGTGAATCATTTGTAATTCTAAATTTATGACTTAATAATAATAATAATAATAATAAAAATAATAATAATAATAATTTCTACAAAATAAACCGGCCTACTTAATATTATTGGCATCCTTTCTTATGTTCTAATGTACTTTACAGAAAGCCCCTGGTAACCCTATTAGAACATTTGTTGGATGGGGAATGGATGGATAAACTTGCGTATATGGCGGACATATTGAGCCTCCTTAGCGAACTCAATATTTCTCTTCAGGGGTTTTGCACAAATATTTTTACAATGAGAAATTAGACAGATGCGTTCATAAAGATGCTGATATTTTTGGGATAATCACGTACAAGAAGAAGAAATAGAAATGTTTCCACTTCTGCAAGAATTTTTGGTTACTGCTGACGTCAATCGAAAAGTCATATTCAATATAATAAGTCAACATTTAAGGGCTTTAGCTCAAAGCTTTAATTATTATTACCCTGCGAATGAGTATCCTCGTAAAGGCAACCTTTGGGTTGTCTTCTGATGTCACTGTGGTGTCCAAACATAAAACACAATCATTGTCTCAGTTTTGGTTATCACTGGAAAAAGAATGTCCATTTCTCAGTTACTGGGCTACTAAATTTTTGGTCTCATTTTCGATTACTTATTTGTGTGAGAAGACTTTTTCAGCCATGTCAGTGATAAAAACCAAACAGAGAAACCGAATGGATATTAATGCAACGCTTCGTCTGTCAGAAACAACGCTGGAGCCACGGTTTTCAAGCTACGTCTGTCAGAAACCACGCTGGTGCCATGGTTATCAAGCTTCGTCTGTCAGAAACAACGTTGGAACCACGATTATCAAGCTACGTCTGTCAGAAACAAGGTTGGAGCCATTGTTATCAAGCTACGTCTGTCAGAAGTAAGGTTGGAGCAATGGTTATCAAGCTACATCTGTCAGAAACATGGTTGGAGCCATGGTTATCAAGCTACGTCTGTCAGAAACAAGGTTGGAGCCATGGTTATCAAGCTATGTCTGTCAGAAACAAGGTTGGAGCCATGGTTATCAAGCTATGTCTGTCAGAAACAAGTTGGAGCCATGGTTATCAAGCTATGTCTGTCAGAAACAAGGTTGGAGCCATGGTTATCAAGCTACGTCTGTCAGAAACAAGGTTGGAGCCATGGTTATCAAGCTACGTCTGTCAGAAACAAGGTTGGAGCCATGGTTATCAAGCTACGTCTGTCAGAAACAAGGTTGGAGCCATTGTTATCAAACATTCTAGAAAAGAAGCAGAAGCAGAGTTCAAACTAATTTTACTTGAAGTAAATAATAATTAAAATTTGAATTAAATATTGCTTTCTCCAAAGTTCAAGACGTTCTATTATTAAATATTATTAGAACTTTTTGTTTATTGTTCGGTTTCTGGTTATTTTAAGTAGCTATAGAATTTTTATTTTATATTATTAGATTTAAAAACTAATACACAAAATAAAAAATAATTTCTATTATATATAAATAATGGTTTTTATTTCTGCTTTAGCGGTCCGCGAAATATTTCTCGAAATTTTACCAGTCCGCAGGTGTCAAAAGGTTGAAAACCACTGCATGATCAGGTGCAACAGGACCTACCCCGCCCAGAGGGTCGAAGCTAGAGATGTAGAGGTTCCATCTATCTTCGTACTCCAGCGAGTCGTCCTCGGAGAAGTAAGCTTCCATGAAGGCCGCGTGCTGCAGGGGCACACACCAGAGGTTCCGTTAGTAATGTCATCATCATTCTTTGCTAAAGTATAAAGCACGAGAAACTCACAGTGTGTTAAAAAAGTTACTTGTAAATATTCGATTTTCCATCCGGGATCATGAACGTTAATCACTCATTGGGTTCCAGATCCCGTTCCAGGTCTATAAGGGGATTCCAGCACAGCCTATAGCAACATCTAAATAAGAGGTTCTGGTAACTGTGAAGGGATTCCAGTACTCCCTAAACG